AGCTCAGCAATTCGTTGGACATTTAACTTCTGTTCTTTAATAAGCTGACATATGTCCTTGCCATTTGCAATGATTGGATGATTAGGAATTGGCATTTCTTTTTCTATGGCATCACGTAAAGCACAAAAGGATTGTTCAACTTCGGCTGCGGCTATGTCTTCTTCAGTTTGTTCGCTTTCGTCTGGTTCAATTTGCTGTTGTCTTTGCTTGGCTGATAGCCTTGAGAAGAAGCTTTTAATCTGTTCACTAGTTCTCCATTCTTCTGGTGTAAACATTGGCTTACCATCCTTGTCTTTAACCCTCTTCATTTCTCGTGAGACTTGTACAGGATCAGCTTTCAATCCGTTAACAGCTCCGGCATCAAATTCACTGACAAGGTAGGTTCTGGCTTTGTCACTCATTCTGGTCCATGTCTTGGTGGTCTTTAAAGCCCAACCGGTCGTTGTCTCATTTCCAGATGGTGTTGTCTTTTCTAAACTTGCTTSTTGGTCAATAGACTCAGGGACTTCTGATAGCATTGTAGTCGTGGTGTACTTGACACCAGTTACTTTTTCTGCCCAGGTTTTCCTGATAGAATCGTACATCGATTATCTGTCAGTTTTGCGCACATGTTTTCCAGTAGCCATTTTGGATAAATAAAGAATCTAATGCATGTTGAATCTAAAAGTATCAACTTTGAAATGCCGGAGTCGCATTACAAGAACCTWGCTAGAAAGCTCTCGAACAGATTCCAATATCAATTGCATTTTGTTCATATAACATACCATACCATTCTGGTTTACCCAAGTTCTCTGGCGATAGACGTGTTAGTTCGTRAAAACTACAATTATAAGGTAGAGTTAGAATCTTTAAAAGATTTAGACGACAATGAGTTTAAAGATGTTATTAAAGTTGCTAAAAAGCTTAACAGTGATATTGCTTCACTTCAACCTCAAATGTCATGGCCACCAAAAATACAGGAGCTTCAACCATGCAAAGTGTCAAACTACATCCCTCAGTCATTGGATTTGTTTTTCTCAGTACTGCTCTCTGGAGAAACTGTTGACGGAAACAAAAGTAAAGGAGATAGGGTGACACGTCTGAAGTCTTCTTTGAGCCAAGACATAGTTTACTCAGTTTCTAGTGGAAAAATCAAAACCCCTAAAAGTGTTTTATTCCCCACAGTTGTTAAGTCGTTATGCAACAACACTGAAGTTATCAAAGTTATAAACCAATATGGTCATGGTATAAGTTATAATTTAATAKAAGAAATCGAGACTGAGCACGCTTTAGACATTTTGAATGAACAAAAGGACAAAAGGGWACTAATTCCAGAAGAAATCACGAAAGAAGGAAATGATTCTCCTGTTGCGCTAATGATCGCTGACAATATTGACAATCTTGAGAATACTCTGACTGGTGGTGGGACATCTCACAGGGTGAATTCGATTTTGGTGAAAAAGCGCAAGCGTTCAATTGAAGAAGATCCTGCTGACGATGATGAAAGCAATAGGCCATCAAAGAAAAAATGTCTAAAGGACACTACCTCCTGAAAGTATTAATAAGGAAATTCCTGACTATTATAGTGGTGCACGTGTGGGTCCTGGAAATCTCGAACATGTATCCAATGTCCATAAAGGCACAAACTACAATAGAAGAGTCCATGGACAACGAAAGAAATACCTAGTTTGGTTAGAAGTTCGCAAACTCAAAACTCACCAAACTCTTCTAGTTCCTGGGTGGACTGGTTTTCATATAAGTGTTCGTGATAACTTGGTCATCGTCGATAGTGTTGTGTCCTATTTAKACAYTTTAGATTTGCCTGCAACGGATTTGAAAAGTGTTATGTAGAGCTTGCGAAATTAGAGAAAGATTAGGTCTTGATTGTGTAGCTTGTGCCTTTGATCAGGCGTTTTATGCGAAAGCTACAGAGATTTATTGGAAGCACAAGATGTATTTAAAGATGTTATCGTTATGCTTGGTGGATTTCATCTCATGATGATGTTGTTTGGTGTGATTGGATGTCGTTTTGGCGATGCTGGTCTACGAGAACTTGCCATTCAGAGTGATCTAGTAGCAGAAGGGTCTATTGATAGCGTAATGAKTGGTAAACATTATAACAGGGCTGTGCGCCTTCACAAGATTGTTTACGAAGCTCTCATGAAACTGCTAATCCTTCTGTTCGAATCATCTGCACCTGATGACATTCAAGAGCTAATGACACAGCATACTGAGTCTCTTGAAAATCTCAAGTTAGATATGTGCCAAGAATCATTTGAAGAAGTTCTCACAAGTGACGCATTTGACAAGTGGTATAAACTGTTTGACAGTTTTACGAAAGATTTGAGGGATAAAGGGAACGATCTTGGCAAATTCTGGTTGTCTTACCTTGAGCTTACAGAGTTGGCATTGAATCTGATTTACGCAACCCGTACAGGGGACTGGGAATTATATCTGTCGTGTGTTGAAGAGGTTATTCCATGGGYATTTGCCTATGATCGTCAAAACTACGCACGATATTTAATTCCCTATGTTAATGATATGCGTAAACTGCCATCTTCATAACCTCAAGTCCACGCAGCATTTGTAAATGGTGAGTTCAACGTGCAAATTGGAAAGGTGAATCCTTTTGGATGCATTGAAGSTGATAAGGCTATTGAAATGACGATCAACCGTGATTGCAAGACAGCTGGTGGCTACATTGGATTCAGTGCAAATGTCTCGGCAACTCAACGTTGGGTGTTAAACGCCTCTCGTCGAGGTACTTACAAGCAACTACTAAGGGAGCACCTATCTATCAAGAAAAAAGGCTCAGTACACAAAGAACTGGCTCCAGCTCGCACACGTAGAGACATCGAAGCAGTAGACAAGGTCATTGATGTGTTAGAGAATGTGTTTATTAATCCATGGACTGGAACAGAATTTACAAGTTTGTCAAGTGGTATAGAAGCAACTGGTGTAGTCAAAGAAGATTTGTTGCAGGCCCAGAGTACTGGGAAAGATGCATGCAAGGAATTTGTAAACAGTCGTTGTCTTCCCAATCCAAAACTTGGCTTCTTCGATCCTCTCAAGAAGAACTCACTTAAAACCTTCAAGGATATGAAGAAAATCACCAAAGTGAAAACCAAAGATCTTGTTATGCCTTTAAAGATGGACAGGAATCTGTTTGCTAGAATGGCACTTCTGGGACATTTCCGTAAGATTGACCTCAAGCAGGTATTCACGTTTCCCCTTGGACCTCTTCCGTGAAAGAATAGATGTTGTATTTGACGTCTATAAGGACGTGTCAATCAAAAACGCTGAGAGATCAAGACGCACTGAAGAATTCTCTAAGGGAACAAGGTATAACATAAACACTTGTGAGAGATGAGCGTATTCTAAATGAAGTATGTGCTTAAAATACATATATTCATTAAAGGTATAAGAACTTGCATTAAAGGTATAAGAACTTGCAGCCTGGATTTCCGATTAAGTCGTGGACGAAGTTCTTRGCACTCTCCTGTAACAAAACASAAGTTGTGAAGTTTCTTGTATCCATCTGGAAGAAACCGGAATGTACTGTCAAGCTTGGACAGCGAGTGCTCTATGTCACCGAAGAAGAAGAATGCTGGAAGCTAACTTCGTCTAGTATTGAGATTGTGCCAGAATTACGGTGTTGTCACGAAGAAGCCGACACAAGGATAGTCTTGCATGCAAAGCACAGTGGAAGTCCATTCATCGTGCACGCAGATGACACAGATGTGTTGGTTCTTCTTGTTGGCCACAGTAGTACACTCAACAGAGTCGGATACATCAAAATGGGTAAAGGCTTGAAGACTAGAATAGTTCCACTTCACCTTATAAAAGACAAGCTCTCGAAAGATGTCCAACCTGGTATCACTACAGAGAATTTCGCCTTAAGTATAGAATACAGTGTATCAGCTTTTATACCAGCTTTTATCTAAGAAACCGTCCTTATTACCACCGTCTGCAATTTTTTGCCGTATTCTCCTTTCCGCAGTTGTCCGACATGCAACACGGTCGCGCGCGCGATAACGAGGTCGGGGGACAAGATGTAAATAAAAACAAACAAAAAACAATGGCGTGCGGAGACTGCTTTCCGACTTACTACTATGATTTCTGAGCAAATATGATCTTCTTTCGTTCTGGATATGGGCAAGAATGATAGATGATGTGTCTATCAGTGTGGTCATGACAGGAATGAAGGGTCTTCATGCTCTTTTTTTCGTATTCCTCGGGAGCCGAAAGACTTAGTGGCGAAATATCAAGCGCTACTCAAGTACGACATCATAGCACCTGATGGAAAAAAAACACCTTGGTTTCCATCAATAGATTCAAAAATATGCAGCTGCCATTGGCCTAAAGGATGTTCACCAGGTATTTGAAAGAAAAGTCGTGAAATATGCGAAAATTTTCATCCTTTTAACATATAAACATTCTATGATAATAGATCCAAAGTCGAGGATACCGGAGAAAATGACGAGGCTACCTTCTATCTTGCCCAACAAAACAACAAAAGAACGACTAACGTGGAAGTGCCGTAATAGAAATGTCAACACTCCCGCTGATTCTTGTCCTGAGAAGTCTTTACGTGAAAAAAATGAATTAAATCCATCTACATGTACTGCAGTTTCGACTTTACAGATCAGGCCCAATTTATCTCCTCGTTTACAGAGGTCAAACTCGACAACAGCTGACCATGATTACTCAAGTATCATGAAAGACAAATCAAGTGAAGAGTTTTTGGAGACAATGCAATGCAGTCAGCCTTCGTTTTACCAACATTATGTTGAACTTTCGTCTAAAGTAAAAGCTGAAGCATATGACAAAGCAATTTCCAACCACTCGATTTTGACTCTTGACTCAATTAAACACGATGAAAACTTAGTCAGATTATACACCAGTCTTAAAAACTACCAAACATTTCTTGCTTTATATAGTTACCTGGAGCCCAAAGCAAAGCACTAATTACAGTACTATGGGGGAGGCAAAAAACGACAGAGTTCAGAAACCTTCATGTCATGGATAAAGGATATTCGAGCAAACCAGGACCAGAAAGACAGACAACATTACAAGATGAATTGTTTATGACTCTTTACAGACTAAGATTAGGTGTTCCCTGTCAAGAATGTGCATTTAGGTTTGGTTTGAAGCTTTCAAAATTCGAGTCTATTTTCAATACATGGGTTGTCTTCATAGCACTTGAACTTGAAGAATTATGCAAGATAAACAGAAACATAAGAAGTCATGAGTCTGCAAATTGCTTCAAAGAATTCCCTGATGTTGTAATTGTTCTTGACTGTACTGAACTGTTTGCTGAAACACCTAGTTCACTGAAGGCAAGCAAACAGCTGTTTTCCAACTATAAGCACCATAGCACTGTTAAATTCTTGGTTGGTATTAGTACCTGCGGTGCAATTAATTATGTTTCTTCAATGTTTGGGGCTCTGGCATCTGATAAATTTATCACTAGGGTCAGTGATGATCTGCTGGATTCTTTAAAAAGAGGTGATGTTGTCATGGGGGATAGAGCTTATACAGTTGAAGATGACCTTCCTCCTGGAGTTAAAGTCATTACACCATGTACAAAAGGACTAAGTCAAGTACAGTTCTCCCATGAACAAGTTCTTTACAGCCAAAGAATAGCAAAAGCTAGAGTTCATATTGAGAGAGCTATTGGTCGGATAAAGTCGCTTGGACTTCTAGAAAGAGAAGTGAAAATTTCATCAATCAAGCACTTTGAATTTGTCTTTAAAGCATGTAGCTACCTTGTTAATTTTCAAACACCATTTTTAAAAGTATCAGACAAATAATTGACATTGAATTTTTGATATCCCTTGCCCTGGAGTTACAATATTACAGTATTATGAATCATAATTCAAGTTGACTTTATTCAATAAATAATGGGCTTATTCATAAATATTACTGCATTCATATAAATATTTTACAAATGTATAAATAATTGTGTTCAATTAATTTTTATGTACAAAATACTATTTACAAATTGATTTTATAATGACATATAATTTATTACAAGTCAAAAATATTTGTGGTTCCAAATAGATAGAATACAAACACTAAAAGTATATTGCTTCCTGGTGTTATTACTACTAACTGACAAGTAATTTAGACTACGCCAGTTTAGCAGTATTTCAAAAGTGCTGAATTGATACTTTTCGTGTTTGTTATTGATAATCATTTAATTGTTTATTTATTTAACATATTTGTATATAGCAGTAGCTTTATTATTCTAGACTATATTCAGTCAGTCTTGGTATATTTGTTCTTGTTTGGATTTTTTTGTCATCAAGACAAATATCCAAGGTCAAAAGCTATACAAGCTATATTGGAATCGATATACTGTATACAGTCTAGCATGTCAAGATAATTAATTATTTATGTATAAATCAATAATTTAATATTAAGTATGTACATGTAAAAAAAATCAATTCATGTCAACCATATATACACAAAACTATTTTGTATTCATGACTGTATGCAGTTATTCAAAGATGGAAGAATAAAATTTTTAAAGTACAATTTACATTTAGATAAAATTTCTTGAAATTTGACACTATCTTTAGCTACTTCAACAATCAGTAGACCTTTGGGAGACCAAACTACCAATTTGCAAAGCTCTGTTTTAGTTACACCCATAGTTGTAATTATTTGAAAATAATATTTATGTGATGGTTTAACAACTACATTGACACTATCATTATTAATAAAAAAGTCAATATCCTTGACAAACTGATTAGGATCTTTGTTTTCTAAAGATAATGGACATTTGATTTCCAATAAGTACTTCTCTTTATGGCAGTCGCAAGAACAAATACCATCAGGGCTAGCACCAATATAACCACAAGGGTGATATACAAATCCACTTTCAGAGCACTTGAAATTGATACGCTGTTTAGACATGATGTCAATAAATTCTTTCCTTGCTAAGGCCTCATGCTTTGTACCATACCTTGTTGCATTGTTACCGCCAAACGTTGAGCTAACATCAATCAGACGAAGAACAGAACCACCGTCATTACATTTATTGTCAAGGAAGGAAGTAATTCTAGTACATATAGCCAGTGAATTGCTTGCAGTACAAGTGTTGTATCTGTAGTTCTTCCAGTGTAAGCTTTGAGACTGACCAAGGGTTAAGGATTCGACAGTGTCAATAAAGGACTGATCAACAGTTAATAGATTACAGATTGTATCAGCATTGGCAGAGGGATGATCACTTAAAATTCTTTCTACTCTGTCTTTCACATTCAGAGTAGTGTATTCACTATTTACTTCTGTAACCACACAAGGAACTAAGGAAGGACTGTAGTATGACATAACAATTGCAGGCGTTTCATAATTATTAAGATCAGATGTAGATGTGGTACTTGTCAGCTGAGGTAAAGAGGGATTATCAAAGTATGCTTGGAGGATTTTTACAACAGGAGCATCAGAGCTATCAGCTTCAAGAAGATTATGATACAGGAGAAGTGCAGAGTCTCTATTGATTTGTCTGTCATTTGTAGGGCGAGGATCTTTAATTGGGGCTTTGTGTTTGTTATCTTTGCCGCCGTAATATATCTTAGAAAATTGAATGTCCTGCACTAACTGTGGGCCATCCTTGGGACCCTTTGGCACTATCCATTTGCACAACTTCTCAGTACAACTCAAGTCATCAGGTAATTCAGTCAGACCCTCTGAAACAAATTCCTCAATGGCAAAAAGGAAACCAGCTACATGTGTACATGCTTCCCCCAAGCCTGCCACACAATGACAATGACCGTATACGATTTTCTTGGTGTGCTTTGTTATGACAACAAATGTTCTGTATTCCGTTCCTTGCTTTTCATAGCTAGCTAAACTTAAGCAGCGGACGAGAGCTAAATCAGGTTTAAAATCGTTGTATTGTAATGAGTTGATATGATCCTCTTTCCAGAGACGATAACTACGCAATGTCTTGTAGCGTAGTAAAGTTTCTTTTCCGTAAGATTCAAAATTTTTCTCCTTATGTGGAGGAGATTCTAAAAGATAGTTAGTAATATTATACAAACTTATTGTTGGCATCTTTCGTATGTCCTTCACTTTTCGCAAATTCCCGGGCTTCGTCAATCCATAGCGGTGTGTTTTCTTTGTTATCGTGACCCGACGAACCGGTGGTACACAACGACAACTTTTCACATACTGCTGTTACTCTCAAGTTCCGATTACCCTTTAGCGGTACTCCCAGAGACTTACAGACGGACGACAGTTCTTTTCCTGATAGCTTTAAGACGTCTTTTAGACATTTTAAGTTTGAAATCATGTTGGAAAGCAGTCTCCGCACGCCATTGTTTTTTGTTTGTTTATGTTTACATCTTGTCCGCCGACCTCGTTATCGCGCGCGCGACCGTGTTGCATGGCGGACAACTGCGGAAAGGAGAATCCTTGAAACCAAAACCGTTATTTTACATAAGTTAAGTTAATGCATCTTAAATTGGGAGATTGTTTGAGGCATAGTTTAAGACTTTATTCACCACATAATTATATATAGGTTGTGATTCTGTGTCATCATTTGCTGGAAAAGGCAAAACTAAGGCTTTCAAGTTGCTRAAGGATAACCCAAAATATGTACGTACATTCATGTCGCTTGGCGCTTCTTGGGAAGTTGACGCTGAACTTTTCAATGGGCTGGAGGAATTCGTGTGTGACCTTTATGGTAAGAAAGGCAGAGCAATAACGTTGATTTACTCAGGTATCAGCTCCATTGTGCCAAAGAAGGAAACGTGGAGCCAGAATTATTACCTCCATGCCAATCCTCAMTGAAACTTCACGTATCAAGAGCCAACTACCAAGAGGAATATGGAGAAGAGCTATAGTGGCCCTGCCCGACACCCCTTCACCCCATGGCCATGGATGGGAAGTTACTGGGGAAGGAGATATCAGCATCAAATAGCTTGGTTCTAAACCTTCACCGGAAGAAGTCCTTGAGATGTTGGCTTGTGTTTGCAAGAAATCGTGCACAATCGATTCTTGTTGCTGTTTAAAAGCCGGCCTTAAGTGCACAGATATGTGCACTCTTAAATGTACAAACATGGCAACAGAAGATGAGGTCAGCAATAACAATGATGAAGATGACGAAGAAGAAGGCGACTATTGATCCTATTGATCCTCCATTCATTAAAAATGTATAATTGTAAGTCCCACTATATAAATAATTTGCAAGTAATACACAATTGMAGTCATTGTATTTAACAATTTGGTAAGACTACAACAAATTGAAATTAAAGTGGACATCTACACCAAAAATGGTATATACTCTTTATATTTATTACAAATGAGGGCCTAGGTCCCAGTCAAAACACCCGTTTGAAATGAAAAAAAAAACATGAAGCAACCCTAAGACTACCTTTGAACATTATTCTAAACTAGAATCAAATCAATGAAATTATTGAACCGGTTTTCTTTAAGCTTTTCCTTAAATTTCACTAATTCCAAGAAATTCGGTCTCAGTCCCCTACTCGGCCACTTGTAATCCACTTATACATAAAAATGCATTCCTTGCTGTGTTAACTTACTATTTCTGTCAAATTTGATCATTTCCCTTTCAATTATGGCTTTATAAAACGTATTTTACAGCATTCGGCCCCAGTCCCCCGCTCGGCCAAAGTAACTGCATGGTTCGCACAGGCCTGGAGAAGTCCTTGAAAATGCTTTGAGTCCTTGAAAACTCCTTGAATTTAAAGATTTAGATAAATGTCCTTGAAAAGTCCTGGATTTTGCTCTTTAAGTCCTTGAATATTTCCAGTTTTACCTTGAAAATCAGTTCCTTATAGAAATGTTTTTATTGACATTCAAAAATGTATAAAAATGTTGCTTTTTGCCGTTTTGTATTATATTCTTAGATAAGAGCGTGTGTTTGTACTTGATATTTGTCATTTCAATGAAAAAAGTAGAGAGGAGCCTGGGAACGAGGGTCCAATATTGGATCTAATTGATTTGTGGGTAATTTACAAGATGGCAGGGTGATTTAGTAAAGGATTTAAATGAACCCCCCTACTTTTGCTAATTGAATAGCACATCGGTCAACACGGAAAGGTTTTTGCTTGTAAGAACAATGAATAAGGGCTCAAAAGGTCAGTGTGTGTACAATGGAAAGTGGGAGTCGAATCCAGAATACAAAGACTGSATTTGTGCTTTCAAGTGGTGTGATCGCTTGATTGATTTGTCAACCATGGGGGAAAGTGCTCTGAAATCCCATTTAAAAGGCGCAAAGCACAAGCAAAACGGCACTAGAAGTACATTACTTTGYTTGTGTCTCATAAACTATATAATTTAAARTAAATTATACTTATATTAGTCCTTGAAAATACCAAAAAAGTCCTTGAAAAGCCCTTGAAAAGTCCTGGAATTTTTTCCTTGTATTTCTGTGCGAACCATGGTAAGGATATTTAAACCCCTTAATTGAGGAGGAAAGCTACCACTTTGAAATGTCCAACACACATTTTCATAAACCTTATATAGCAAGGGTTAGATTCCACTATGTTGGATTTGGTCCCCGTGAGTGAGCGAATGTTCGAGCTCAGGTGATGGACTATATGTCGTGCTTTGATGTTAAGCCTTGATCTTTGTTTTTTCCTACGATGACACTAAGATCTTGCGTGCGCGGACTAAATTTTTGTATCAGCTCTAGATGTGTGTCCTGCTGTTGTTCTACTTGAAGTGCGCTGTACTTTAGCAAAAGACCTGGTCCAATTTTGAAGCTTCGCCATGCTCTKATAMSATCCTTTTCAAAGGAAAAGKTATTCAAGTTGCTGATGCCTGGTATTTTGTTGTTTTTCCCATTGAACAGCAAGAAAAAAACTGCAACGCGGCACCCTTTGAAGCGCCTGCTGTTTAGCCTCGTCTTGATTGATAAGACGTTGATGCTGCGTTGATGCTTGGCGAAGTATCGGTGGGATCAAAGTAAGGAGACGCCCAAGAATGAGGATGTGTTAGCAGTAGAGGATTCGACAAGKAGAGAAGCTGCTTTTGAGGCTTTTAAAGCCGAGTTTGTACGAAATGGGTAAGTTAAGTCGATCAGCCTGTGGTTTGATCATCTTTCCCCCAAATGTAAGCTTTWAATCTGACTATGATCTTTGTAAAACAATTCAGYTACGATGTCCCAAAACCACTGATAGATYTGTTGGAAAGTTTTAAACTGAAACCAAAAGAGACAGACGAACAGGGCAGATCACGAATTTATCGCCGACTTTGGGCGATTTTATGGGTAAGCATTAGTTGCGCTTTGCTTTGATTTATCATAAATTATCCACATCTGTCCGTATACAAAAGGCGCAAAACGATGGCCACTTCAAAATAACATGCTTCAGTATTCNTAGCTATAGATAAGCTAATTCTAGAAATATAACTCTTAGTTCGCTCAGATTTTTATTTTTGACGAAACACGAGAATTTCATTTTGCGGGCTGACAGGCCGGTTTCCCAAGGTCAAACCATGGATTCTTTTGAGCTCGATCACTACTCCTCCTAAAAACTAACCGAAAATCTAAATGCATGTCGTAAAAGTTAACATAATACTTTATCTTTTAGGAGCAGATTGTTACGAAATAACAAATTTGGAATTTTTTACCGAATTTTTAAGTCATGCAAATTTTACCGATTTTCAAGAACTCAAAAATAGCGCAACTTTAGAGGCCAAAATCMCCAACTGGACAGCCTGACTGATCAAAGAAACAATATTCCTGTAAAAGAACYTTGCTTCGACTTTAAATTTCTGCAATAAAATTTTTGGGCTACTCAAAAGAAAATATTTTAGCGCGCCGAACGTGAGTGACCTTGAAGRGAAAATAATTCGTTACTTAGTAAAGATCGTGTCTGATAAGTTCGACAGAACCAAACAAAACTGCTTAATTCCACATCGTATTTCCTTTATTTGAAGTAAATCTATCTTAAATACAATAGAAGAATGTATCATACAAGTTTTGCCGTGATTTACCTAATATAGATGACTTCAACGACTACTTGTGACAGTTACAAAGTTCGCACATCCACATCATCGCTGTATTGTGATTGTTTACTCCTCVTTAKAATRCTCTTATTCTTGAAATGCATCCATTYTATTATTGYAAACATTTTAAAAGAGTAGTTTAGTCCATAGAGGTTTCTTTAGCAAGAGTTTTTTCAAACTATTTCAGAACATAAGCATGTGATGTCAACAGTGTCACGGTTGAAGAGAAAGCGTGACAACACAGGCATCCCATGATTTTCCTCCTTAAAAAGAACTTACGAAATATATTATCGCAGGTGCCATGTCATCATATTTATAACTTAGGTAAATAGACTGCAGATCTCAATGATGTAGACTCTGTAGCAGTGTAATAGTTTTACCGAAAAGTCCGAGTTGGTCCTCTTAATTAGGGCCTCTTACTCTTAAAAGTTAAAAGTGCCTATTTCGCAACAAATATTGCTACAGTCCAGGTATAAAACCTGTTTATAACTGGTTCAAGCAACAAATCAAGAGCTTTATATCCATTAACTAGTAGAGTGTTGCTCACTTGAAACGAGTCATTTGCATCCGCTACATTACCAGAGGATTGACGGAATGGAAAGCATTTAGTGAAGTCAACTTATGGGCGTGGCCTAGTCTGCTAGTAAGAGGGTGTAAAAAATGCAGGTTTATCAACGCTTTATCAACAAACGAAGGCAAGTACCTCCATTACAAGCTCAAGATCGGACACAGGCCACAAAGCCCACCGGGGTGGGACTTCCCTATAAAGCATGGTAGGTACGCTCGATGGACCTTTTAGGGTCGAAAATAAATCCCTTGCGTACCTTTTAGGGATCTGAGCTGACTCCGTACCTTTTTGGGTCATTTTMTGAACAACGGGAAAAAAATTGAAGTATTATAAGTTTTGATAAAGAAATAGATTTATTAACCTCAACAATCTATCGACATTGATTTTCTACAGTTTGTTAAACTTGAGCTTTTTTCTTGTTGAAGACGTCAAAAATGCTRGTACCTTTTAGGGTCTGGAAWCGATACGTGAATTAATTTATGCATACCTTTTAAGGTCATTTTTCAGTCCYTCCGTCGAGCATACCTACCATGCTTTATAGGGAAGTCCCCCCTCCCCCGGGCACAAAGCATACCCAGATTGCCCTGTTTCCTGACGTTTCTCTGTGTGTTTCTTCTCT